AAGGTACTACAGTTAATACTTGGGAGCTCCGGTGTCTCCTTTTTCTTTTACTTGCACACTGCAACTGTAATATTTTGATTACCCTTCCCATTTGCCAGTTTTTTTTTTTATTATTATTTCCTTTTCCTCTAGATAGGTCGTGGGGAATTATATATTTTCTAACTCCATATGTTCATTAGTTAACCTTACCCAGAAATTTCTGGATAAGTGGTTAAAACAGTACCCTAATGGCTTCTGCTTCTGAGATGTTCAAAGGCCTGCCATTCCACATCTTATCCCCTCCTAAGCTAACCAGATATGTATATAATATATACTACAAACTTCCCTTGTTAACATTCCAAGGGCAGGGAGTAGATAAACAGTGGTGTTGTGTATTGTTCACTGTTTATAATCCAATATGGAGTCAAGAACTTCAATCCAGGAAAAACTCTTATCATAGAATATTCTGAAAGTTAGGGTAGAATTTTTCCAATTAGATCGATCATGAGGCATGTGACATTTCTGCGTCTCTAAGTTGGCTTTCTGTTTCTATGCCATTCTGAATGCATATTTCAATATAGATAGCAACACATATTATTTATGGGGGGGTATGTTTTTGAGTTTTAAGATGCTATGTGAAGATACAGAAATAAGTATCTTTCTTCCATAAAGTTCTAGTATAAAATTTAAGATCTAAGAATACATGTCATATGTTTTTTGTTAGAAATGTTCAGCTTATGGGCCAGCAGGTGGCATGGCGGTCAAGGCACTGGATTCTGAGTGGCTAATTCTGTGGTTTGAGTCCCAGACTCAGCAAATTGAAAAACATGCTGGGAGTATGTACGTGTGTGTCCGAAATCCCAAGAGAATCGAGGAGAAGGCATTTTAGCAAAGCCATCCCTCAAGGGATGATTTCTCACTTTCTCTCTTTCCTGTCTCCAGTGAGCACACACACTCTATGGCAAAAAAAAAAAAAAAAAATCTAAAAAAAAAAAGAGAGAGAGAAAAGAAATGCTCTGTTTATGGAGCTATCATGTTACTAAAGGAAGCAACAATTAATTTTGATTATAGTTATTTAAAAAGATAGTCTTTTTTCAATTCACCAATTCATTAGTAAAAAGTAAACCCATACTTTCAGACACCGATAATATTTAAACTTCATTGTAATAGCTTTTACTTCACTATAAACACTTTAAAAGTATTTTCTCTTAATGTTCAAATGGAAATTGTGTTATTACAAACTGCGCTGAAAAGTTTTTAATCTTAAACCAGCAGGTGGTCTGGTGGTTAGCACGCTGGACTCCTACATGACTGATAACAGTTTGAGTCTTGAACCTGGCAGCTGCTATTTCATTCTCTCTCTCTCTCTCTCTCTCTCTCTCTCTCGTGAACTTACATGTCCTATTGAATATTAAAGCAAAATAATAAATAAAATAATTCTTTAAAAAGTATTTATCTTTCTTTATATGATTCAAAATTTATGATGTATATCAACTCTTTAAGTCCCATTTTAATTTACACATTGTGAATTGTAATTTATTTTAATTAATTGCAAAACCATTAAATTCTTTAATGAAATAATACTTTTAGAAGGTAAGGCAGCGTTTTCTGCTTTACTGTGTGATTGTCTTTCTAATGTTTTTTTTTTCTACTTCAAAAATTAACATATTAATCCAATAGTCCCTACTTTTCAAATAAAATCATAGAGGTTTGGGGGGAAACAAATTAGTTGTTCAGCAATCTTTCAGAAATTAAATTCCAAGTATTTTACCATGAGACTGTGAAATAAGGCAGAGTTCAAAAAACAATTTACGTTTTTCATGATAATCTAGAATTTTTATTTGATTCCAGGTAACTAGGACAACAGACATGATGAGATGTTTTCTCTTTGAATAAATAACAGTTTAATTACATTATTGAAATAAAATATACTATGACCTTAATACATTGTAAATATTACAGAAGTACTACTCTGCTATAGTAATTTAATGACTGAAGCTACATTTAATAACAATCTTACCAGTACTTGTATACAAAGTATTATACAGATTACTAACGAAGGTATTGCAGCGGTTGCAAAGATGTTACCAGCTCAACAAACATCTAACAATACAATATTCTTCTAAGAGAAAAAGTAATAATATTAGATTTACAGACAATAGGAGTTGTTTTCCACTTGAAACATTGGAAAAAGAAACCAGATAATCTGGTACCTTGATTCGTAGTATTACAAGAAAAATTTTCCTTTCTTGGGGACTCCAATCCCCAGTAGATCTAGAACAGAAAGTTTACATGAAGAGCGCTTTTAGGATGCTACAGCAATAAAAAGAAATGCTCCTAACTGAAAATTACTGATTTGTAGGCCACTGCTTAGACATCTGACTTTTTTTTTAAAACCTATTTACATACATTCAGCCCAAATCAGTAGACAGAATAGTTTGTCTATATTACAATAGGCATTGTTAACATTTCATCAGAAGGCCAGTGCAAGACAGTTGTTAATAGCCATTGCCCAGCATGTAGGAGATTTTAAAATATCATACAAATGTACAGTATATGTGAGAGATCTAATTTTGAGCATGATATCGGTGGTCTTTCTTATGAACATGTAATGGTAGAAATTATTAATAATCAACAGGACAGTAAATAGAGTGCTACTCATCCAGGGCCTAATTCTCATCCAGTGATCAGGCCTGTTTCTTACCGAGTGGACTTGGTGGCAGAAATTCCGTGACATTTAGTATCAGATAGACCTGACTCAAAGTGACAGGGAAGCTTGAGCATCATCTCAGGGAGAGGAAAATATCTACAGTACCTCCCAGATCCTTATTTCATATGTGATGAAAAGAGGGTCTTGGAGACAGCCTTGAAACTGTTTAGGACTGATTTATCATTGCTCTAAAGCAACTGAGCAGGTTGGGAATCTGGCCCTTTCTGAAGACACGTGTGATGGCAAATGCTGGGTCAGGACAACTGTTAGACTCAGAGGAAAGGTGATAACTCAGATGTCAGACTTCATAAAATTTACTTAAATCTAAATTATATTTAAATTAATGGATCCAATTAAGGAACTAACTAATGAGTGATACTAATGAATGGTAATTCTGATGAGTATATTCTCTGGGGAGAACACTTTATTCACTTGAGTTAGGAAATGACATGAAAAGTGTCAAAGTGAATCCAACTAGTTTTAAATGTTTTCAGATGAAGGTAGTGTAACACATATATGATGATATTTCACAGATATTTCTTAGAATATCAATGAGCACCGAGTTTAGTGCCATCAGCCCCATTGTCCCTTAATTTTTTTATATATGATTTAGATCTTGAAAGCACAATATACTATAAAATCTACATTGCATATGCACAAATACAGTTTCAAAAATGAATCCTGGAAATTTTCTACCTAAAGCAAGAATTTCATCCCCACCAGTTCTTTGCCACTGTGATAAGAGAGCTGGTACAGCCTGGGGAGCTGAGATGTATACATTAATGTGTAGGAGGATACAGGACAAAAGACTAGCAAGTCTTAAATGGAAACTAGACCCTGGTGAGTTGTCTTATAATCTTCTCTCCTTCTAAAGAGATCATATTATTCCTCTAGCACCCTGAGCCCTCTTCAACACAGCACGGAGAGGGAAAGTGAGGGAACCAGCAGGAAGGACTGAGTTGTGTGGACATATAATTGGAAGTATCCCAGCTTGGGCCACATGCCACAATTCCACCTTACCCCACAGTCTGCAGGAAGGATAACTGCTCCATCAGGCTGTGTGGGCATCTTGTGAGCTAGAAATCACCAGAATGACTCTAGCCCTTCCCTATACTTCATGCTATGCAAGCCTCAGGGCCCTGTAGGAGTCATCCTTTATTGGTATAAGGAGAAGATGTTGTTTATTAGTAAAATTCCTCAGGGTCAAGTGACTTCTCAAGCAATTATCATTGCATACTGGAAAAGGGCCCAATTCTGAGCACCCATGGCACCATTAGGGAGGAGACCAGGGCATAAGAAGAAGGAAAGCTGTGCTCATCTTCATGCTTTAGTTTATCTGGCTAACCACGGGCAGAGGAGAGGTCTATTCCTTAGCCAAAACCTACGCTTAGCCCAAATCTACCCAGCCAGGCACTGGGCTGTCACCAAGGCCACCTGGGCAAGTCACAAAAGCAGCATGTTACCCAGGCCTTGACCCCACTTGTGCAGGCTCTTCACTGCCCTTTTTCTATCTGAACCACTCTGATTCAGCCTCCTTGGCTGAGACCTGGTAGGTCCCACTTCAGCAGAGTGCACTTAAACTGGGATCACACTACTTACATATACAATTGAAAAATGCTCCCCTTTGGGGCTTTTTAATTTTTCTTTTTACAACCACCTTCCTTATGATTTACATCTCCATGAACCTGATCAATCCAAAAAATTCAGAAACCAAAACCCATTCATTCCTGATAATAACATTATAAATACAAACCTTCACTTGAATCTCTTGTTCTTGCTAAACACTGATCTTATATAATACCTAAAGGTCAATTTAGTAATACTTCAACCAATCTCTTCAGTGAGAATGAGGGAGTTAAGAGGGCATGAGAAATTTTCTGAATGGGTGTAGTTAGTATTTTTATCAACAAGCTTTGTGGAAGAACTCAATTTTGGAAACTGAATTCATGCGCAAGAGTGTAGCAAGTGGTACAGTTTACATTTGGTCACAGTTTTCTCACATTATGACATTACTATAACAGTTACAGGATAGAAAGACACACACACACATTTACAGTCACACTCACACACAGCATAATTTACTGATCCAGACAATACTTCTTTTCAATTAAAAAAAAAAATGAAAACTGTTCGGCCACCCAGGCATAAAATCTACTTAAACCTGGAATATATTAATGCAATACTCTTCAAGTAAACAGCAACTTCACAAGGGTGACAATACACATTAAGATTGACACATGCTGTCTTAGGTCCAGTAATAACTAAAGACAAATAGAAAGTCAGAGATGTCAGCCGAAAAAAGTCAATATGCTTTCTCTCTTCCATTTGGATTGTAATCCATTACCCAACCAAATAGCTATATCATCCAGAAGATAATAAATGTCTTTATATGCAAATTGAGGGCTAATAATTTTTAAGTGTGAATGAAATTTGCTCAATATTTTCCATAGTCCTCACATTCTTCTTGTTGTGTTAACAGAAAGAAATAAAACTTTATGATTATTTCAGGGTCAAATTTAAACAGACCTTTGAATGAATGTCAATATTCCTAAAGTTACATCATGGGCGATTCTTTTTTTAAAGTGGTCTCACTGGCATATATCCACTTCTTGTCCACTATTCTCAGGAAAAGTTACCTTTCAATTTTGCTGAACTAGACAGATATAAATAACACACAGTAAACACTGATACACATCTCACAGGACACAATACATTTTACAAAATATCTCTACTTTAGTACTATAGCTCTTATAAAAATGGACATCTCTGATACTGCAGACAGATACATTTTACATTGTGATGAAAGTTGTGGTTACAAAGGCATTATTCATTTGATGGCATTTTTCTATGGGTACTTAGACTTCAAATTGTGTAGCCAAAGGTTTCACTCCTATTTCACTGAGACTTTGATGGACCATTCAGTCACTTATGCAATGGGCTTTCTTCCCTGTAAACCCCTGGAGAATGGAGTTTGAGTACCTACACTACCAAAATGCCAGCGAACTGATAAAGGAGCATGGTAAACTTAAAATATATATATAATCAATGAGATGACAGACCCTGAGATTTTGAGCTCTTAAAAAGAAAGAAAAAAAAAAGAATTTCTTTTCCTCTGCTGCCAGGAGGCATCAGGCTCACAGAGCCTCAGCAGATGTGTCTGTCGACACGGACATGGTCACCTTGGCGATCTTCACTGTGCTCTTGATGCAGCTTTCTGCAGCCCTGTGCATACTGGCAGCGTTGTTCGCATGTTTATGCAAGCAGTCTGAGTCTCCCACGCTGTTATCCAGAGGTTGCGCAGTGCCTTCACACGAGGGGAACATGCTCCGGAAAGCATGTCTCAGGTCCTTGCTCCTCAGAGCATAGATGATGGGGTTCACGGTGGAGTTGAGCAGGCAGAGCATACTGCAGAACGCAAACACCGTCTTAATGAGCTTGTTCATTTTCCCAAAGACATCGTACACCATGATCGCAAGCAGAGGGCCCCAGCAGATGATCAAAACCACCAGGATCAGTACCAGGGTCTTGGCCAGCCTAATGTCCATGCGGGCTTGGTCCGGCCGGGTCACCTGAACCTTGCCATCCTCTGACGTGTGGATGATGATGCTCTTCTGGGTGCCACGCTGGATCATGCGGACCGCATGGCTATGCGCCTTCCAGAGAATGTACATGTATGCGTAGACAATGAACAGCAGCAGCACGCTGGTGACCCCGATCCAGAACATCAGGTAGGTCTCGTCGATGAGCGGGAAAATGTCTGAGCACACAGATTGCAGCTTCTTGCAGTTCCAGCCCAGGAGAGGCAGCACAGCAATCACGATTGCTATGGTCCACATCAGGCAAAATGCCACCACAGCTTTGGGCCTGGTAACAATCCTCTTGTAGGCCAGCGGCCTGTGAATAGATATGTACCTATCAATGGCCGTGAGGAACAGGCTGCCCACGGAGGCCGTGAAAGAGGCTGTGACCCCGCCCAGTTTGAACAGAAACACGTTGGGACTATCTTTGCGGTGGAACACATGGAAGTCAACAAAGCTGTAGACAAAAATGACGCTCCCCAGGAGGTCGGCCACCGCCAGGCTGCCGATGAAGTGGTAGGAAGGCCTGCAGCGGAGGCTGCGGGAGTGCAGGATGACGCACAGAACCAGCAGGTTCTCCAGAACTGTGAAGGTGCCCAGCGTGAGGGACAGCACAGCAATAGCCAGCTGTTGGCTGGGGTTCAGGATCATGAAGCACTCCATGTCCATGAAGTTCTCACCGCACTGGATATTCTCCTCATTTTCCTTATAGGATGAGAGGGACTTGTTGTAAAATTCAGTAATGTTCACCTGGTCTGCTGGGACCAACTGGGGGCTGTCTCCAGCAGTCATCTTTTCTTGGAAGGGGCTTCCCCTAAAGGAAGTTAGAGGAAATTTCTGTGGGAAGTACCCTAATTTGGATGCCATGTCGCCTTTGATGTCTTCGTACTGAATGTCGTTGGAGCCCACATAGAGGAGGTCTGTGGTGATGGTGCGGAAGGTGGTATCTGCAAGGCCATCTAGGATCGACTTCATAACCTCAGACTCTGATTAGGCCAAACTCAGGATGACTGAGAAAGAGACCCACAGGAGGGAATCCTAATAGGAGGGAAAACAAACAAGCTGAATGGTGAGAGAACCAGGAGCACAATAAAACCAAACACTGTGAACATCACAAACTTGTACCATCATGGCATTTCATGTTTCTGAACATAGGTCAAGTCCATGTCAGATTCAGTCATCAACAAATAAATTTCTCAGTCAGAGAAAAGCCCCTCAAAGTTGGTTGATGGAGCAGCACGCACGAGAAACAGCATTATTTCATTATTTAAACTTTGAATTGAAGT